GTCAAAAGTTTTCACGACACTAGATTTGAAAAATGGCTTTTTCCATGTAGACATAGACGAAAATTGCACCAAATATACCGCATTTGTAACACATAATGGTATCTACGAATTTCTTAAAGCTCCTTTTGGTTTATGTATTAGTCCAAATGTTTTTCAAAGGTATATTTATTCAATATTTCGTGACTTGCTAAATGAAGGTGTACTAATTATTTATATGGATGATATAGTCATACCGGCTAATGATGAAGTTGAATGTTTAGACAAATTAGAAAGAGTATTCAAAACTGTTTCGGAATATGGGTTACAAATAAATTTCAAAAAGTGCCAATTCTTAAAACGTAAAATTGAATTTTTGGGACATGTAATTGAAAAACGGAACTATTCGACCATCACCTTCCAAAACTGTTGCTGTTCGAAAATTTCCACAACCGCGTAACTGTAAACAACTACAAAGCTTTTTAGGACTAACGGGATATTTTCGTAAATTCATTCCTCAGTATGCTAAAATAGCTAAACCTCTTAGTGACTTGCTTAGAAAAGGTATTGGTTTTAAGTTCGATTCCGAACAAGAGGAAGCTTTTTGCAGATTAAAATAAATTCTCTCTCAGGCACCTGTTCTACACATATTTAGGCAAGGATATCCATTAGAACTTCATACTGATGCTAGTAGTCAAGGCTTTGGTGCGGTATTACTCCAATTGTCTGATGATGGTAATTATCACCCAATCCAGTATATGAGTAAGAAGACTTCACCGCAGCAAGAGAAACTCTGTACTTACGAATTAGAAGCCCTTGCAGTAATAGAAGCTCTGAAGAAATTTCGAAACTATTTGTTAGGGACTAAATTCAAAATTGGTAACTGATTGTAGCGCTTTTCAGAAAACTTTAGATAAGAAAGATTTAAAACCTCCTAAAATTGCGAGATGGGCAATGTTTATTGAAGAATTCGATTACGAAAATTGTACATCGTTCAGGAAGCCAAATGAAACATGCTGATGCTTTAAGTAGAAATGCTTTAATTTTAACATCATACACATCCGATGTAACTGAGAAGATTCGGTTAGCTCAACAACAGAATGAAGATGAACACATGTGAAACTTGATCAAGAATTTAGGTTGAGAAGGGAGAAGAAAATGGGATTCTTCGTGAGAAATGATATTTTGTACAAATTTGGAAAATGGTAAAGATCTTCTAGTAGTGCCAGAATCCTTACAGAATGAAATCATAACAGAAGGTACATAAAAAAGGTCACTTTGCTGTAGATAAAACTGTGAATGCTGTAGAGCAAGAATTCTTTATTCTATGGATCCCAGACTGAAATGTAAAGTTGAAAAAGGGTAATTGCTAACTGTATAGAATGTATACTGTACAACAAGAAGCAAGGAAAAGCAGAAGGATTTCTTTCATCCTGTACCAAAGAAAAACGTTCCCTTTGAGTACGTATACATATCGACTTTATTGGACCGCTTCCATCGACGAAACAAGAGATACCAACACATTCTAACTGTGTGTCGACGCTTTTACGAAATTTACTTGGTTCTATCCAGTGAAATCACCAACTACACAAGAAGTTATTTCAAAATTGAAGCAACAACAGACTGTATTTGGAAATCCAGCCAGAATCATTTTCAGATCGAGGTAGTGCCTTTACATCGAAAGAATTTTCAGCGTATTGTACTGAAGAAGGAATAGAACATGTCAAAATTACTACCGGTATTCCAAGAGGTAACGGACAAATTGAGCGAATTCATAGAATTTTGATTCCTGTTTTGTCAAAATTATCACATGAAGATTCAACGAAATGGTTTAAATACGTTCCAGATGTTCAGAGAATAATTAACAGTACGACTACGAGAAGTACGAAATATTCACCGTTTGAGCTTCTCATAGGCACGAAAATGAAGAATAAAGAAGATTTGAGAATTAGTGAAACATTGAATGAAGAATATCTAAAACAATTGATGCAAGAACGTGACGAAATGAGAGAAGATGCGAAAAACAACATTTTCAGGATTCAAGAGGAGAATCGAAAACAATTCAACAAGAAACGTAAGAAACCGAAACTATACAAGATTGGCGACTTGGTAGCCATTCAGAGAACTCAATATGGGACTGGTTTGAAACTACGACCTAAATTTCATGGACCGTATAAAATCATAGCTGTAAGATCAAATGACAGATATGAAGTCGAGAAAGTAGGATGCCATGAAGGACCAAATTTGACATCTACTGCGGCTGACCATATGAAGCCATGGTCAAATTGATTTAATGCTTGTATCAGCTCAAAGCCTAAGGACCTGATACTCTTTTTTCTTTCTTTCTTTCTTTTTTTTTTATTATCTTTGGAGGTACATGATAGTGATGTCCATTCAACAGACATCGAGGACGATGCCTCTTCAGGCTGGCCGAAGCTGTGGGAAATCATAACGTGCAATGCTGAATGAGAATTGCCCGTTATGACGTCATCAGTATACCATCACAGCCCAGCGCAGTAAGAATCATCCCAGACAGCGCTGAGACCTGGTCGAGAGTGGAGGGCAGACGTGAGCAGACGGCTCACACGTCTTCAAGAGTTTATGAACTTTAATTGTGCTTTCGATGTTATGCCTTTACATCATTATGTTAATCCTGCATACCGTTAACTTCATCTTTATATACTTTTCTTTATATACTTTTATTTCTTTCTATTAAATAAACCATTTAAATATTACTTCGTGCTCTCATGCTGTGAATCAAGTCAAATTCTACACATATATATATATATATATATATATATATTGGAAGAAGAGCTGTTTAAAAACCCGTCAAATGGGAGAATTAAGACTTAGATGCCAGTGTATCCGATATTACGAATATTATCTTCTGCTACGAGGTTGGAATCTAGCATAATGTACATGAATCGAATATGGGACAGACCGCGAGTGTAGAATATTTTCTTATACAATATATATAGAGTATTTTTACACGGTTTTCTGAGGAACCAATCTACCGTGTAAAAAGAGGATTTTGAAATAAAATTGAAACTATGAAATATTTTCAATATTTGTTTCAGTTTTATCAATATGTGTTGTTTTGGAAACATTAAATAATAAGACACCTACTCTCCTTACCATTTTATGTCCGACATTTTATTGACGCTGATTTAAACTGACAGCAGCTGAAGGCGTTTCATTATTTGATGTTTTTGCAATAAGGTACCTAAATTCATTAAATCGGAGAAAATAGGACAATTCCTTGGTTGCATTTTTTTTCTGGACTATTCTATATTTGTTCCTTCAAATATATGTTATCCCAAGTAGTACACGACGTTGCAAATTGATCCGAGAGGTTGCAAAGTGGTTGTAGTAACTTTTACGACGCTGCGAAAACGCAAAATATTTGCCGTTGCATCTTTGCATTTTGTCGACGTCGCTGAAACGTCTTGATAGGACCGCTTTTAAACGTGGTCGTTTTAGCATTTTTTTTAAGTACATCAGCATTATTTTTAGAATAAAAAGAGACTAAATCTGTCCTTTCAAGAATCTGAAGTCCGAATAAGATTTACTTTGCAATGTTTCATTGCAATCAATGCATCAATAAAATCATCAATAAATAAATCGTTTGCAATCAATAAAAAATATTTAGTGTTCTGATTGCAGTGTTATTTTGGTATCTATTCTTCCAAACATCGTGTAATTCGCGTTTTTTTAAATATTGCCGTTATGCGTGTTTATTAGATTATCTCAATAAATGAATGTTGGAAATTAGGTTTTATTTTTTATTAAATTTAAGTGTATTCTATTTTCTTCGCTTACTTTTTATGTGCTTGTGATAACAAAGAAATTCATAATAAATAGAAACAAAAGGTTTCATCGTGTGCTATTTAACGAAGAGCTTACTTTAACGTACTTAGCTTACTCTCGTATACTATATTATTTCAATTACATCTGTACAATAACAAAAAGGGCGGAGGAATATGTTACGTTATCAACTTTAGTTGTTGAAAACAATAAAAGTCATATAGGCGTAAACTTGGAGAATGATGTAGATGAATCACGACAGTTAGTCTTTAATCTAGGATTAAACAGTTTGCATGCAGATCAAACTTTTGTTTGACGTTAAGTGAACTGATGATCTGATACATCTTCTGGAAAAAGGATCAATGGAAAGTCAAGTGAAAACACAATCATGTTGCAGTTAAAATCCTTTTATTTTTTATGTACTCTTTTATATATGTTCTATTCAACAACTGCAAACGTCGATAATTATTTACACATTGTTAAAATTGTTACTTTCGCCATAACAGCAGATTCCATTATAAATCTTGCTTGCTGTTGCACTATATATCTTGCGCTTAAGATTTGCGTTTTAGTTTAAATCTATCAAAACATTTGTGGTGGTTTATAACTCTAAGACTTGTTAACTCTGAAACAGCTGAATAATTGTAAGTTTTAAATTATTTTGAGCTTAAACCATTTACCGATGTTAATATACTGCACATGATATGAAGGAAGCCAACATCGATTGACGTTGCAAAGCAAGTAGTAAGAATCTTGCTCACGAACAACTCCACGTAAAAATGAGAAATTTTTTCATATATTTAATTCATTAAAAAACATTAACTTTCTGTACTTCAGGAAAAGTTCTAGGGTGGATTAAGAGATGATGTTTTCAGTGAACTTCAGTGTTCAGCGATTGGCGGAAAAAAAAAAAAAAAAAAAAAAAAGGATTAAACTTTGAAATGGCAGCCACTGTAACTGATTTATTTGAATAACGATAATATAGTTTACCAAAACCTCCTTAGTAGCTATTTCAGAAGGAAACAAACGAGGGAATAAATTCCATGAGTGAGATAGCATATCGTTATTATTAACCATCCAAATTCACAATTTTACATTTATATTTCCAAACGATAAAGATTGCGTTGCCTAACAACGCTGATTTTATATCAGCTGATGGAAAATGATAAGAATTACTAAAAATATAGCAGGGAATAATTCAAATTTACAGTGGCTTAGAAATGGAAGTACGAAGTGTGTTCGTTACCGGAGCTAACAGAGGTATTGGCTTAGAATTTGTTAGGCAGTTGGTGGCTCTTCCCAAAGCACCCCGCTATGTATTTGCTACGTACAGGAACAAAGATTCACTTCAGGTACAATTTTTAAAATCACCAGATGAGTATGAAATTTTCTAAAAATCTTGCTTATTATTTAGGATCACTGCATAAGCGGTATGTTCTTTAACGTTACACAGTATTCTAGGAATGAAATTTGTGTTTCTTAAATTACCTCTAAATTTGTTCAATTCTAGGAAAGAGCAAACATAGTAAATTAAAGTATTATTTGTAAAATGAGCTAATGTTGAAGAGTTTTCAATAAATGAACACTTACCATTTTATTAATGCATTACAATAGTTATATAATTTTAAAAACTTGTTCTCAAATGTGAAAATAATGTTTTCCCTTACTTTTATTTTGTCACCTATTTAGCATATTTATCACGAAAGATAATTTGATTTTGAATTTTTTTCACTAAAAGAACGCACCATATTATGACAGCTGTTAAATTTGACTGAACCCTCTCTAGACAACTGTCCACGGTTCTAGAAGATTTTGGTATTCTGTCAGGTTGATATTTGAAACCGGTACTGAAGTACGGTAATTAGAAAAATATCACTCTTAATTTATTTCTTCTTAGAAATACTAGTCATATCCACAGGTGGTCATCATGAGAGGATTCATTGTATATTTACCGCGCTTTATACATTCGCTACTTCTTACGTATCTACACTTTATCTGTTTACGTATCTGCTTATTACGTCTTACTCATCGGCTTACTGCCGTTGAGTAATCGATGAGAACGGTTGATTCTTACAAAGGTTCAGCGGATAACGGATGGCCTATTGCTGCTAATCTCAACAGTTTCTTCTAGATTTGGTTATATTTATTAGGCATTCTCTTCGATGCGATGAGAGAAAAGTGAACTTTTAGTTCAGTGCACCTTGTTATCGATCATGCCACGCTTATAATATTCAGTCGGAAGCAATATAAATAGATACATAGACGTCAAAGTGTCGTGAAATTTTAAAAACTGGATTCGGAAGGGGGATATATTCGGTTATGTTAATATTTTATTAACTGCGAACGATTTCAGATCATTCTGAATTAGAAGAGTGCCTTTTAAAAGAAAAGGACTCGTATTCACGTTACACATAGAGAAAAACCATAAAAAGGTTTTGCAACTGGTTTATTCTATCATCAGGTTTAAAAATTTGGATAAACTATTACTGTTATTTATTTTACATTTTAGAAAACCGGTGGGGTTAGTAAAAAGTAAAAGCTTAGTACTAGATCCTACGCATTAAAAAGTGAAAGAAAGACATGCTAGCTAAATGTTTAATATTAGATAGGAACTCCAGTTCTCGAAATTTGGATTTTAGTTTCCGAGTTAGCTACGTCATAAGCGTTACGCAAGCTTTGTGACATAGAATGATCTAGAAATGACTCAGTCCAGAAAAGTTATTACAATTTTTTAGAATATGGAATTAAGGAATATTGCTAGTTTAAATTATAATTTTGAAATTTACATATGTTTTATTAAGATTTAAAAGATATTTTTATCTTAGGAGATTTACAATTTTTTTTATGTCCTTAAAAAAGCCCAATACTTGCGTTAAAGCTGCTAAGTAATAAAATAATTTATTTATTAGAAATGTTATTGTATATTATCCCCTAGAAAAAGAAAGGATATTAGGAAACTTACTCTAAAAAAAAAATATTGATTGACGAAATTCAACTTGCGTTTTTCATGTCTCGAAAGTGCGACTTAGGATATGTATTAGATTTATATATAGCGTTCTTCTAATATAGGTATTTTGACACAAAATCGGACTTTTTCTGAAATGAGATGCCAATTTTTCCATTTTTCGATTTTACGACTCAAATTATGCCAAACTGCCATGTTTTGTAAAAATCACACGAATAGTTTTTGAAACATTAGCTCCTCAATGTTAAATTAATTTGGTATATATTTATTAATCTGTATTTTTTTTTATTCAACTTATTTGATTCTTCCTTTCACATTTCGAAATTTAGCTTCATTCCAAATAAGATTCGCCAATTTTTATGATTTACTTTCAAAATTTGTATTTTTAAATAATTTTTTCGAAATAATTTTGAATTACAGTCTATAAAAGTTTTACCATCATCTTACAGAAGATGTGTTTTTAAGCATACCTTCAAAAAAATTAAGAGCTTTTTTTACTCAAATTTTTTGAAGATATGCATGAATTTATATATTGGCGCGTTTTGAAATTTGGCATATTTGTTGAAAGTGATTATAACATTAAATGCGGTTTAGGCGCTTTATTAAAATTATTTGAAAGTAGTAACGATGTGACTTTTTTCCCCCTCACGCACAATGTAAAAAGGAAAATAGGTTGCCATATATTAAGAAGTTCGTCAAGTGAGTTTTTCTTGGTGCAAACTGAAAATATGCGCCAAGATAAATTTTTGAATTTCTCCGTAAATTTCGCACCAAATTTTACAAAATGTAATATTTAAACATAATTTGTGTTGTAGAATCGAAATATGGAAAAAAAAATGGCAAGTCCTTTCAGAAAAGTCCGATTTCGTGCCAAAATATCTATATTAGAGCAGTGCTATATATAAATATAATACACAGGGTGTTTCTAAATGAATATCGGGATTTTAGCGCTTTGTAGTATTTATTACGTAAAACTTAAAATTATAATTAATACGTAAAATGAAAGAGCAACTTAAACAGTTATACCTACAAGCTTACAAGTATTAAATGAGAGCACCTTTTGTCAGATGACGCACATCCCGTCGATAGCCCAATTCTTTCCAAACACTGATTTAGTATTTGTGGTGTATCGTTGATTAGTGTTTGAGGCGTCTCTATCAATTGGTGAAATAGCCATAGTTGTAGAGCATCAAGACAGAAAGTACCAGTTACAGCGGCTTCTCCAAAGAGTGAGTGAGTGAGTGAGTGATTATGGCGCAAAACCAGAGATGATTATGACGCGCCAAACAAAAGATGAGATGATTACAATTGATGACATTAAAATTCAATAAATAAAAACAAGTAGATAAATGTACCAAATCCAGAGGATGAAGTCATATAAACACAGGTTAAAAGCACATATTAAAATTCAAGAGACAGTCTTCAAAACAAATTACATTTGGTAATAAAAGCCAATATCTTTTAAATAATAAAATAAATTAGAATTGACCTCTCTTCCAATTAAACGGTCGAGAGGTAAGTCACAGCTATTAAAATATTTCTGGCGAAGACTATTAAAACATGGACACTCAATTAAAATATGACGAACAGATAAACAAATTACAGTTAAAAGAAACAGGCTCATTTTCAGCTTTTAAAAGGTAGTTATGTGTCACTCTAGTGTGACCAATTCTGAGGCGAGTCAAAGAACTTCCTCCTTACGATTTTTGGTTAATTCCCAGTGCTCAATTCTAGGTTTTACATGTCTTAATTTATTTTGAAGCTGAACATCCCAAAGTTGTTGCCATTTTTTTTCGGATCTTTTGTTTCACAACACAACAATGTCTGCAAAAGGGATGAGACGACTGGACAGTTCAACAGCACATTTTGCTGTGATATCTGCCAGCTCATTCCCTTTTATTCCCACATGCCCGGGAACCCAGCAGTACAGGATATCATACCCACGATTCGTTAAGTTTATATGTATTTTGAGAATATCCACTATTACTGGATTTTGAGTATTAGGAAAAGCTTCTAATTGAATTTAAGAGCACTATACGAATCTGTATAAATTATAAACTTTTTGTAGCAGAGCCTTGAGATGTATAAAAGAACTATAATATATCGCAGTTAGTTCGGATGTTAAGACAGAGAAAGCTTTGTGCAAGGCTCCGCCCTCCATGTGGTCTTTAATTACATATGCCATCCCGACATGATCTTTTTGACTTGGAATCCATCTGTATAAACTGGACGATAACTGCTATATTTGTTCCCTGTGCTCAGCGAAAGAGTTGTCTGTGTAAATAATCTCGTTAGTGCTTGCCTTCACATGATACTTAAAAACATCAAGAAGCTGAATCCGTGCATTTTCCCAAGGTGGGATTTCAAAATTCTGTACTGCTTGGGGGGTGCATATCAGAGAGGGAAAGTTCCTCAATGACAGGGCGAACTCTTAAAAAATGTAGGAACCCACAAGATGGACGTGTTTCAAATAACGCGTTACTCACATCATCAAGTAAGCACAGCTTATGGGATGTTCAGGTTGGGGATAGTATATTAAAATATTGTAAAAGGGACAATTGCTCACGCCTCAGATAAAGTGATGGTTCATTACAGTCAACATACAGGCTCTGGACAGGAGAAGTCCTGAAGGCTCCTGAACATATCCTCAAACCTTGATGGTGAACAGGATCCAGTTTTCAAAACAGATGACCGAGCGATCCATAAACAACTGAGCCATAGTCCATCTAGAGCGGATAAGCGCTCTGTAATTGCGAAGCATGGAGCAACGCTCTGCACCCCAGGAGGTGTTCGCCAACACTTTTAAACATATTTAGTGTTTTGAGACACTTCTTTCTCAGGTTAAAACATGAGAAAGGAAAGTCAATTCTGGTCGAACGTTACTCCTAAAAATTTTTTTGGGCGCAACTGGAATAATGTACTATTCAGATATAACTCAGGTTCAGGATGGAGACGTCGCTTCCTACAAAAGTGCGCGCACAATGTTTTCTGTTTCGAAAATGTAAATCCCTGTCTATCTGCCCATTCTTGCATCTTATTCAGAGCCATCTCAATTCCCTCTTTATGTACCTCATGTCTGCCCCTCGACAGCTAATCTATAAATCATCAACATATAGAGATCCCAAAATGGTGGGAGGAAGTTCTTTTAATAGAGAGTTTATTTTTAAACTAAACAGGGTTACACTAAACACAGAGTGAGTGAGTGAGTGAGTGATTATGGCGCAAAAACCAGAAGATGATTATACGCGCCAAACACGAGATGAGGATGATTACAAATTGATGAAAATTAAATTCAAAATAAAAACAAGTAGACAAATGTACCAAATCCAGAGGATGAAGTCATATAAAAACAAGTTAAAAGCACATATTAAAATTCAAGACACAGTC